GCGAAACCTCAAAATACGAAACTCTGCCGAAACTCTAATAAACAATTAATGTGTAACCTGCCGAAACCCTGCTGATTGATTTCTGGAGGAGTTTCAACAAGCAACCTTAATTGTAAAGGGCATCTCTTCTCCTATACATGTTTGTCAAAATTAATTTGACTTTGACCCAACTCTCAAAATCACAATTTTTAATTGCATCTAACTAATAATTTATATGTTTTTCATATGGCTCAATTAATTGCGTCAAAAAAGTCACCTGATTGAGTCAAGTGATCAACCTATTTCTACCACATCATCTCCGCTTTGCTAAAGCTTAAGCATAAGGGGAGCAGAGGTGAGCTAGCTAGCAAAAAATCATTATTTTTTACCCAACTTTTTGGAAGGAATTTTTTGTTCAACAAATTGCTCTTTTGAACCCTGATAATAAATAACTATATCTTGAACATGACATAACTTTATGCATATTGTAAACTTCAAAGCCAAAAATCAAAAAACCAGCATGGCCAATATCACATGCAAAGCCAAAGTCATTTTATTTTAAAAAGGGTTATATAAATATAATTATATATAACAATTTCAAGAATCTCATATTTGTTTTTTCTTTAACATTAAATTAAAAGTTCTTACATTAAAATGTTTTGAGAATATTTTTATTTCAAATAAAATCTTTTCACCTAATTATTTGATAAAGATACAAAGAATAACTTTAAAATTTTTAATATTTTCACCAACAACTTTGTTAAGTCATTTACAAGTAGCATATTAATATGTTTTAATGGTAGAGTATTATCATTAGATATTTTCTCAAAATTAAATCTTATTTCATATTTATATATAACATTACATTATACAATCACATGTGAAGTTGTAATAATTAAAATAATTAAATATTTATATATAATTTATATACTTCATATTCTTCTAGCAAATATACTTCTTTCTTTTTATTTTTAAGATCCAAATTCTTTTCATAATAATGACCATGCTCATAATAACAATAAGGTTCATTATTAATACTGTTGCGTATGTCTAAAACATTAAAATCTACAAATCTTTCATGAAAATCTACATCATCTGTTGTTGTATTAATCTTTTGTGGATTATGATGTATTGCACATTCAGGTCTTTTGACTCTACTTAATAATGAATTTTTAATTTGATTTTGATCAATTTTGAAAATAAAACTTTTGTTTGTTTTAATACTATAAGAAGCATCTGAGGGTTTTCCTTTTAAATTCCAACATACTGGATTATACCCTCCAATTAATTCTCCAGTTTCTTTAATTTCCATGATGACAACTGTTTGTTCAATGTTATAGCATTTCTCCTCAAAAGTTGACCTTGAAAATCCATCTTGGGACCCACTGAGTATCAAATTAAATTTATATGGTAAATCATTTGGATTATAAAAATCTTTTTCTTCATCAATCCAACTGGAAACTAGAGATTTCATTTCTAAACTTAATAAATTTCCAATTCCTGATCTTGGTCCTTTTCGAACTAATAACCTTGATTGCCATTCAACATTAAGATGATGTTCAAGGATTTCTTCGTACAAATCTTTATCAAATGCTTTTTTATAAGGTTTGATTTTTTTATAAAAATTTGTAGAAGTGATTTGATCAAATCTTACTAATGGAATAAGACCATCTAATATATTTTTTAATTTATCAAAATCTTCTCTATCCCATTTTGAAATATCTTTTCTCAAATTTTCATCTTGTCCTATTCCCCATTGAATGACATAATCCCAAATATCAATTTCCTCTAATTTTAAACTATCTCTTTTTAATATAGTTATTAGCATCAGTTTTTCAATATCTTTGAAACTGTTTGATTTAAAAAATAATTCTGGTTTTTTATCAATCAATTCATTGCAATGGCTTTGAAGTAAACTGAATGATTTATATTTTAATTTATAAAGATTAGTTAAATTCTGTTGAACCCATTCTTTTTTTTCAATAATTAAATAATTTTGTATATCTTCAATTAATTCATCAAAGTTTAATTCATCACATGCTTCAAGAAGTTTAAGAATTTCATCTGGATCCAGGTTATCAATATTAACAATTCCATTGTAAATATATCTTTGAAAAAATCATTTTTTTTAAATTTAACATTTAACATTGTTTCAATAAAAAACATATTATAATTAATTATTTAATTAATGATAATACTTACATTAAAAGAACTTCAAATATTTTTGGAGAAATATTTTCTTTTTCAAATAAAATAATTCCACCATCAGATCTTTTTACCCAATTATTTGATAAAGCTGCTTTGAAATAAACGGATCTTGCTTTTAAAATATTGGAATGAGCTTTAAAAGTCTTAACATCATCATCATCATCACCTTCTCCAACTTTAATTTCTACATCATAAAAATCTGATTCATTTAACAAGTCAGTTAAATCATTGAAAAGCTTACTCATATGTTTTAATGGTAGGATATCTTCATTAGAATCAATAAACTTTTCAAATAAGTTTTTGATGTTTTCTAAAGATGCAAGACTATTATTAGGCATTTGGAATATTGCGAGAAGATAAATCAAATTATAAATAAATTTATTATTATTTATTTATTTGTTTCACGAAAATAATTAACTTCGTAGATAATTTAACCAATTAATTTTTATTTTTCACAACAATTAATGAGTAAGCAAAGATTTAGGAATAACGTTGGTTAAATAGTGGGTACTAACAATGGTCAATGAAGTATGGTCCAAAGGTTAATTGAGAAATACTGGTAGAGTCATTGTATAAATGTTTAAGTTGTTTGTAAATAAACCAAAGCAAGCTTGTAATTGTAAATGATTGGATGAATCAGTCATAAGCAAATAAAACCCACTCTATAAAGTCCTTGAGCTTTCTAAAAGATACATATCTATATTCGATGCGTTGAGCATGCTTACAGATCCAACGAAGCTTTCTATATAGATACAAGAAGCAGAAGTAAGCAAGAATCATAGTAAATTTGTAAACTAATTAATTGACAAACATTAAATTATTGTGTATTGGTTGCAATTAACTTATAAGAATAGACAAGCCATTGTCGGTTATACTTGTTAAATAACAATCAACCCTCCCTAAGTGCACTCATTTTAAATTCACATGTTGTTCTCATTCCGAGTAGAGGTTGGAATCGACCAAAAAATCCTTAGTCGACTACTAGTTGGTCGAAAATTTCTTTATTCGACTAAATTTTTTTTTTATAATAATAACAAATAACAATTTCGTTTTAATTTACAAATTACGAATTCATTTCCATTTGAATCTTTCATTTTTTCAAAATGCTTCCACACAAATCCATGCGTTACGATTCGTTTGTTTAAAGATCTTCTAGAACCACCGCTTAACTCATTGGAACTCGAAGCCAATGAACTATTGGACCTTGTATTGGAAGTGTTTATTCATTCGCATGTAAAATTATCATCAACAACACCACTACTATTGTCGTCATCATAATATTGATGATATCGATACTCTTCCGCATAAAAATTTTCCATTTTGGATGATAAAACACAAAAATCGTAATTGGTCAGACAATAATAATATTAGTATTAATATTAGTATTAGTATTAGTATTAGTATAGTATTATTAGTATTCGACTAAATAATCGATTAAAATAGTCGACTAAGATAGTCGACTATTAGTTGTTCAAAAAAAAGTTTAGTCGATTCCAACCTCTAGATTATACAAATCAACATTCATAATAAAGAATCTATATTTGGCCTTTTAGAAATTATTATCAATTGCATCCCTGTAATGTGTGTGATATAATGTTCACTTTGTCTGGTTTTGTTGCGGTATGCCCCAATTTATATCAGTTTGTAGCTTGGGTTCTCAAGGATATTTATGTAAATTTTCACAATCAAATTTTAACTGAAGTTTTTTTTATTTTTACTCAAGCTATAGAAAAGCTCATTAGATTTTACATGAATATTTGTTTACCAAAGCCTAAGCTACACATTATACATGTGGTAGAAATAAATTGATCACTTGATTCAATCAGGTGACTTGTTTATGTAATTAATTGAGTCATATGAAAGCATGTGTCAGGCGCGATTAAAATTGGATCGAGTCAACATGTATACTACACATGGTATAAATTTAATGGGTTGTAAATTTTTTGTGCAATTAACAAAAACATTCTAGTGTAACAAAATATTCCCACTGGACAGTTGAGTCGATGTGCATCGGTTCGGTTTTAAACCGCTGTTCAACCGGTTTGGCTGAAGCCTTAAATTTTTCTTCTTTTCCTTTTTTAATTACGAAACTTCTATACATTTAACATAAACATCAATCTCAATAAGTTTTAAAATTAAAGTTAGTTAATATTTTTAATATTACATTATTAGAAATTTGTGATAATCTTTTAAGTTTCAAAACCCTTAAATAATAAGGGATTAGAGAAAAATAATAGCATACACGCAACGCAATAATTTTCGTAATACCTAAAATTTCCTTTTTTTTCGTTTTATGAAAATTTAACAACACCTTGTTATTTATTGATAAGATGTAAATTGACAAGAAAACTTCACAATGTTGGTCCAAAGGAAATTATCAATTACTATTTAACTACGTGAATATTGTATTTTTCTGTTTATAATTTTTGATTTTAGAAATAAGCAAATGTATCAATTGATTGATACCTTATAATAATGATTAACAATTAATATTAATGAGCTTTTAAGAGAAAAAACATCTTCCTTCATCAAGAAACTATGCTACATTCAAAAATTTGTACATTTATTTATTATTTATTTATCATTAATTTGTGCAAGTGATATTGTCAATCATAAACTTATTTATATTGTTTATGATGAAATTACTCTAAAAGCCACCTAAAAAAACTCCTTCCTGATGATTTTTTACCATTTATAATTAAAATCTCATAAAAAATATTTTTACTTGTTTATTTTCTTTATTTATATAATTATTTTTTGTATTATCTCTTTACTACCATCAATTCAATTAAAACATACATAATATATATATAATGTCATTGACTGCTTCAAATAACAATACAACACCACCAGTCATAAGAATTATTACACCACCATCCTCGCCAATAATAATGGTGTCAGGTAATGAAGAATGGGATAATGTTGATGATTTTTCAGTAGAATCTTTTCCCGGCGAAGAATCTTCTATCAACAACAATAATAATACAACTTTCACGCCTAGTTCACCACCAGAGGAAATAAACGGTGAAGATATTTCTACTGATTTTGACTTTACAAAAAATAATAACAATAATTCAACCGACATTTTACAAAAAATGGGGTTAGTTTTTTTCTATTAAAATTTTAATTATTTAAAAGGAAAACAAAAACTTTTCACTATAATTTACTAACCAATTATTTGTTTATTTCAAAATGAAATTTAAAGACATTGGCTTTATAATACGCGACTCGTTCAATATATGAAATCTGATGAAAGATCAAGAGTGAAACATAGCTATACAACGAATTCTATATGGATGCTTGGAATAGAGTATTCATTCACAGGTAAAAATTACATTGTATGAATTTTTTTTGCTTTAATAATTTTCACTACTTTATATATATATATATAAACATTGGACAAGACAATTCTGTAAAATATATTTTATATATATATAAATATGGCCGTATGACTAGTAGAGGATGGCGAGTTCGTTAATCTTCCAAAACCTGACAGAGGTGAACATGCAAGAGGTACTCGGGCTTCCTCACTACTTAATTTCATTATGTTTGGATTATCAGAAGACGACGACGATGATGATATTGATTCACCTGGATATCATGAAAGACATTATAGCGAGGACTATATACGAACTCACAAATCGGGAAAATCAAGATCCTCTTTTACATTAAATAGATTCGAGCCTGATTTATTGTCATCATCTACTTCATCATCACCATTGTTACCATCACCACTACCACCAGATTCATCATTTTCAAACTTACAATTGCTGCCGTCACCATCACCATCATCATCAAAACAACAATATCATCAACAGGGAATTATTTGGTCTAGCTGTTAACTCGGAATTATTGTCGTCATCGTTATTGTAATTTAAATTTGTCGCTAAATTTGATAATGATGGTGATTCGTTAAAAGTAGAAGAATAATTATTATTATGATTGGACAATTTATCTATTTTTTCCTTTGATTCAATTGTTATTGTTTCTATAGATATATTGTCAACAGATGAATTATTTGGTCTAGTTGTTAAATGTTTTTCTAATGCTTTACCACTATTATCAATACTATCATCGTCATCATCAGAACTATAATATAAATCGTCAGGATAATTACTATTGTTATCGTTATCGTTATTAACGTTATTATTATTGCTATAATTGTTAATGTCTTTGGTTCGATCTTTAAACCCAATAAAATCTATGAAATTGTTTTTTTTTGTAATAGTATTATTATTATTATTATTAGCAGAAGGTTCATCGTCTTCAGAAAATTTAAGATCGTAATCACTTTCAGCTTCTAAATGAGGTGATAATCTTGACGAAGCTTTATTATATTTGGTTTTTTCTTTATTAGAAAAGAAACTTGTAAATGTCATTCTACGAGTTTTCTTTGATTTTGGAGAAAAATTTCCACCTTGACTATTACTATAATTATTATTATTA